ATATTTAAATTTAAAGTTAAGAAAACTTTTACTTAGAAAAAATTTGTCCCATTTCTACTGACTCCCCCCCATATATAAATATATATATATATTTGCATCAAACTTTACATTGGTTATATAACCATTTTTCGAATTTGATCTTTTTACTATCAAATAAAACTTAACCACAACGATGTATAAGACCCAAATAACAACTAACAAGCTGCAATTAGTCCCAAGTTGTTAGCACAGCTATACAATGACTTACACTAATTTTTCAACCCTTTTTTTTAATAACACATTTTTTTTTACCTCTTCAGAACCAGGAAACGTCTTGACAGTGGTAATTTATTTATTTTTTTAGCTCCCTTATGTTTGTTATAAAGCTGTCAAACCATCATAGGTCCACGGCCCATTTCTAGTACCGTTTGCTAAGTGGTCATATTTTGGTATAAAAAAGGATAATTCCTCCCTTTTTACCAGTTATTGGGTATGCGGTGTCTTGTGGTAAAAATATGGGTTTTTTTTTTTACACTACGTATATTCAAAGGTCAAGGAAAAAAATAAAAAAAAATTTGTCCCAAGAAACGTTAAAATGGGGGGTATACATAACCCCTTTATTTGTCCACGTGTACTGATCTGCAAATCGGGCGTTACTTTACATCGTACATTTATAGAGTGTGCATTTATGGATGTGTTGACCATATTAACATAGACCGTAACTATTATATGGTGAATTATAATACGTAGACTAACAATACATTACTTATTATATCATAGGGTAGAGCCCTAAAATTTTGTATTTTTGCCAGCCCGCACGGCCCGCAAAATAAATTTTACTATATTTTTTAAAAGTTTGGCCACACCAGGCCCGCAATTTTGAGAGGTTTTTAAAATTTTCCAATTTCGGCCAGGTCTCTATCATGAGGTTGTTGGCTTGTCTCAAATAACTGATTACAGTATAAATGATCTCGAAAATATGATTTCGGTTTAAAATTTAATAAATTCAATTAAATAGAAATAGTTTATTAGCACATAAATTATAATAAATAAATAAACGAGAAAAACAGTTATTTAATATCACATTATATGAATGCGTGAAAGTGAAAACCTGTAATCAATCATAGTAAATCATTAAATAAATTTCTAGGTTTTCACCCTCACGCACACATATAATATATAATCAATATATAACCCGATTTTCTAGAAATTTCGGGTTTAAATAACTAATCAATATAATAAAATAAATTAAGGGATATAAACTAATTCGGTTAATACTGTATTCTAAAAAAAAAAAAAAAAAAAAAAGAATAGTGTCGTAAAGAAAGTCACAAAAATGACAAAAAGTCTTAATGAAAATACAAATGTCAATGTACAAATACTATCGATCACTTTTCTATACCGAATATTCTATACAGAAAGATACAACGATCTAACTTGAACAACATTCTCGGGACAGCCTTTTAAGCAATTGAGACAATCGTATATTGAAATAGCCAATGAGAGCTTTAAAACCAATTATTTTTCAATCATTTTAAACATACTCATGCTTGAAGCTGATGGGTGTGGTTTTAAATAATGTAAGAGCCAAAAAATAGAATAATTGATAAGTGTAAAAATAAACATTCCATTCTTACCTGAATATTTCTGACCGAAATCAATAATACCGCTATTACCTAAATATTTCTGACCAAAATCGATAATGCCATTTGTATCAGAGACTTTTTTGTATAGATCTTTAATAAAAATATTTATAATAAATAATGTAAGAGCTAAGAAATAGAATGATTAATAAGTGTAAAATAACATTATTACCTGAATATTTCTGACCAAAATCGATAATACCACTTGTACCAGAAACTTTTTTGTGTAGTTCTATAATATTTATATCATAAAATAATGAAATAGTTGATCAAAAATTCCGAATATTTCATTTTTAAGTCATCGGTACAGTTAAAATTTTCAAAGTGGCCTGCATTATGCAATTAACGTAAAAAATAGCAGTCCAAACCTATCTTGATACACTAATGAAAAAATATATAGAATGCAGCTTTACGTATAATATTGAATCCTAATCCTATTGTTTTTAAATAAATAATTTCGGAAATTTTTGGACTACACTGCTGTTTTCTTACTATGTGTATCATAAACTTTAACAGAAAAATAATTTGATAAACGAAAATAACCTGAGTTAATAAACTTAAAATCAAAAACCTTGCTCTGATAAGAAGTTTCTTGTTGCAAGTCTGTAAAAAGTGGTTTAACAATAGAAATAATCGATATTAAAATAATACTCATGAATTTTAATTCACAAAATTGCATACAAATTACTTGTATTAAAAGCCATTATAGTTCGTTTTTCTTCATATTCAATAGCTAATTTCTTATTTTCAAGAATTTCACAATATATATATTTAACAATATTACAAATTTCTTCAATGGTAGGTCTTATTGAAGGATCGGCATCCCAACATCTATAGATAAGATCTTGCATTTTAATCGGGATTTCGGGCAACATTGGTGGTCTCAAATTACACAAAACAATTTCAATTGCTAATTGTTCTTCATAAGGCCTATCACAGAATGGAGGATATCCTGCAAAAATTTCCCACATCAAAATTCCCAAACTATAAATATCCGTTGCTTTCGAATACTTTTTACTTTGAAGTAATTCGGGTGCCATGTACGGAATAATTCCAAACACTTCATCTGCATTATTACCTTCTACAGGGCCACATAGTCCTAAGTCAGTAAGCAAGCATCTATTTGTATATATAAGGATATTTCCGCTATGTAAATCACAATGAATTAGATTTTGTTTATGAACGTCCAGTAAAACAAAACAGATACGCCAAATGGCAAACACTCTATCTTCTAAACTTAGAATCATGTGATTTTTCTTTAAATAATCTCGCAAATTTCCTTCTTCAAAATAATTCATAACTATAGCAAAATTGCAGTTGCCAGGAATTTCAATTTTAGATATTCCATATGCATTAACAATATCACCTGATCTAATTTGAATAAATCTTTTTGCCTAAAAAGAAAGATAGAAAAATAAGTATATACTATAATAATATATGCAAATATAATAAGATATAGTTAATCTAAACCTCGTCAAAAAACTCTTCTGTAGGATCTGTTGAATTATTTAAAGATTTAAGCGCAACCTTCTGAGGACCTTGATAAACGAATTCTTGTTTACTTTCATTAAAATCTAATATCGACCCTCTTTTCCATGTCGCAGTGTATATAGTAGCAAAACCACCCTTTGCAAGAGGTTTTAGATCTTTGAATTGATCAAATGGGATCCATTCCATAATATGTAAAGGGAGTCCTGAACTTGATTGACATTCACATATAAATTTATCAATAATATCACATCCAGATGTCCAGGTTCCAAAAAAGCTTTTTAAATATTTTATAATGCAATTTTCGCAGTAACGAGTTGAATATCTTGTTAAATTGCAATATTTGCATTCTATTGGCTTGCCTCTTTTAAATAATTCCTTTTCTCTTTCAGTGTTTCTTAAAGCTCTGTCTTGACAAGATCTCTTTTCTTCTGAGGTGAGATCCGAATTTTCAGATAATAGCTTATTATAGATTTCTATTCTATCTTCATAATTTGAGGAATATAACTCAGCATAGTATATAAGTTTAAAATAAGTTTGACTTACAAAGCTTTTTCTATCTTTCCCATCTTTTCCAGTATCTTGCATTTTTTTTTAAGCAGTCTTTGAACTAGAATTTCCCCTTTAAAATTTGTTCGATATGAATTTTTATTAATTATAAATTAGGAAATCGCGCGTAATGATAGATTAACAGTAAATAAATACTAGAAATCCGAAGCATAAAGTTATTAATGTTTTTGCAACTTTTACTATAAAAGTTTTATTCAAATTAGATCAGGTGATATTGTTAATGCATATGGAATATCTAAAATTGAAATTCC